AAATAAGTACTCTTTTGACTGATTTTTAGACTATTTATAAAGTCAAAACTTTCTAAAGTTTTGCTAATATACAAGTAAGACTTTTTGATGTCTAGGATAGGATTTAGTCCAATTTGATATTTTCTATGAATCTACCCAAAAAAAAGAAATTAAAATCACTTTGAAAAATCAATTACTATCTGGAGGTCCCATGTGTATAACTGTGACCTAAGTGTAAACAATACTAATTTATAAACTGAACTAACTGGAATCTTTACCATAACACTCTGAATGAAGGAAAGTAACTGATTACCACTCCACTCCCATCCCAGCCATCAGGGGACCCTCAAAAAGAATTTCACACAGCTAGTATTTTAAATGAGACCATTCAGTCTCTCCAAATTTGCTGAAAATCTCTCTTGCCATTTTTGTGTGATGTTGGAAGGAACAGAGTTTCAATTTAATTTACATAATTGGTAAATGATAGATTTTTAGGTTTAATTGTATGTGACATGTACATTTAGGCTAGCTTTTTTTTTTTTTTTTTGGTCTAGCAATTCTTTGTTTAGTAAATTTTTTTTAGTTATTTGTAAATAGCTGGTACCTTGGGCACTGAGCCTAGCTTTGCTTAGTCTGACTGTCTTTGCAGCAGTCTCTTTCTATTTTAAAAATATTTTGGAAATTACTAGTTTGTTTTCTAAAAATGAAGAAAAATTATCTCATTTTGGGGAGCTAGCTTCTTCTTAAATGATATTTTATGGTTAGATGGTTTAAAACAGTTCCCAGTTTGCCTTTTCAATAATAGAAGTGACAACTAATCACACTGCACAACAATATTTATTCAGTCACGGAAAAATAACAATAATTATAGCTAACACTTATAGAAGGCTACTAGCATTTTTCTAAGTCCTTTACATATAGATTCATTTAGTAGTCACAAAACCCTATGAGATAAGATACCAATAGTATCCATTTAAAAATATCACATATTTTACCATATATGGTAAAATAAATATAAAATGGTATGAGACACCATTTTATAGATGAGGGATTTATAATACTTACTTTAATAAAGATATAAATTCAGCTTTGGAAAAATAATGTTATGTTTGGCAGGGTTTATCAGAGAGGCTAGGAAGTTGGCCTGTTAAGCAGGAAACCAACAGAAGAAAGGGAAGTAGTAGCAGAAGCTTGTTTAGAGGTTTCCTGAACCTTACTCTATTCTCTACATAGATGAATTTCAAACAAACCAACAAACCAAAAAACTTACGTAATCCTTTTAAGCTGTTAGTCAAAGGATAATTATTTTCTGTTTAGCTCTAGGTCAACAAACAACAACCTTTTTTAGTTTTTGTGAAGGCCAAGATCTGGAATTTATATATAGGTTGCATTATGATCTTAAAACATTAGCCTTTTCTAACCTTCAAAAGAACACACAAGCTTAGGAACTGTTCTTCTAGTTAGAACAAAAACAGTTCATAAATTACAATTTTTCCCTTCTATGGTTGACTACCTTCTGAATGGCGATGAGAGCTCAACCCATTGTAGGGTAGCTGTACTTATCTAGCAGCAAAGAGGAAGTCTAAGAGTAGCTTTGACAATTCAGCCACATGTTAATCTGAAGAGCCATTCTTTATTTGAAGATATTTTGGTAGACTATGTTAGGTGTATGAAATGCTTACATAGGGATAGATTTTGTTTCATATGATGATATGATTTAATAGGTGAATAATTAGCCTAAAGGAATCGTAATTAATTCCAATTCATAGTTCCAAAGTTGTATTTGATTTAAAAAAATCACTAAAGATTTAAAAAAATTATATAAGATGAAGAAAATAATCAAATGAAAGTACTAATGAGTCACACTTTAATTCTATTATAGTAGTCTCAATTTGCTGTCTTTTTGTTGGTCTTCTCAAATAAGGAGTTTAATTTCAGCAGATTTTTAAGTTCTTCTAAATGTTAGGAGAAACATTCTCACCAGTTCATTTTTAAAGTAGAAACTTTAGAAAATAATCTATTACTAGGTTTGCTTTCTATATTTGTTAAATACACTAGAAAGTATTTAAAAATTTAAACACTGGAAAGAATTTTCATAGGAAAATTTAAGAAACTAAGAGGAAAAACCAGGAGGAAAATAACTGGATTTGTCAATAAATTGGATGTGATTGAGAGAAAGGAAGCAGTCAAAGTTATACGTAAGAGATGGGACAATACAGGTTTATGTCATTGATAAGTCAGACTGGAAAGGTTATGGAGAGGTAGTATTTGTTACCTTTCCTCTAAAACTTACTGTTCCTTTTCCTGAATATATTGTTACTTTGACTCTTTATCAAATCTTAGTGACAGGTTACATTAAGTAGTAATAAAAGCCTTGTAAGATAATTTGCAATCATCTTAACTTAAAAAAAAAGTGACTAAGTGCTTTATGCATGATAGCTTTTCTCATGTTCTGGTTAAAGAGAAGATAGAAAAAAACTTAAAACATAGCAAAACTGTGACATGCCAAAGGTCACATAACCTGTAGGTACAGCCAGATTTCCTAATTACTAATTTAGTGCAATATTTTCAGATTCATTAGATTACTAAATTCGATGATTAATGATGTACCTGACATACACCCTTTCCATTTCATAAAAATCATCCCATTAACCTTTGTGAATCTATGCATTTAAGTGTTGCAGGAAATCGTCTAAAAACCTTTTTATCGTGGAGTGGATTGTATACGTACGCTCAAAGGAAAACTCAAGAGTTTATCAGTTCCTTTTCCGACAAGTTCAAAAGAATAAATGAATAAATTGATACTAGGCTGAAACGATTTACAGAGAGCCATTATCCGGATGCTTCTATTTTACAATGATGAAGCAGCTTTAAAATAGAAGTGTCTACATTTTTGCTTTCAAGCAAATTAATTTTAAGGGAATCACTGCTGTTCAAAAATATTTTTGAGATGTCGGTGTATATTTTAAAAAGTAATTTTTAAAAAGGAAAGCAGTCGTGTTCTGAAATTTCCTCCCTCTTTGCCCTCCCCGAAACTCCAACCTTCCAAATGGCTAAGTCGCATAGCTGAAAGGATTTTGCTCATTTTTTCCAAAACACTTCACATCTGGGCAGTCGCCAACCATAGAAAGTTTCAAGTAAATGTAACATTTGGGAGAGGGACAAAGCTCGTCTGGGGCTGCCTTCGCGGGTCCGAGGCCCTCAGAGGCGTCGCCACACTCCCTTACCAGATAGCCGGGGGAGGGGGTGGGGTGGCCAGCTGCAAGCTTGGACCAGCAGAGCTCCAACAGCCCGGCCAGGCGCCAGTCCGGGCCAAGCCCACTGACCGCCCGCCCCTCGGCTGTGGGGCTCTTGCCCATCAGTCTTCCAAACAGTTCGAGGCCCCACAGTCCAGGAATGCATCCGGGTCGTAAATGACGAGCCCCTTGAGCCCCTCTAGTTCCCAACTAGGGCAGCCTCGGCGCTGAAGACGCGAGAAGGAA